ACAGACACACACAGCACAGACACACACAGTACAGACACACAGCACGTAACGCCGCCACGGAGTGAACGCACTGTATTGAGCCTCAAGTGGCTGTTGGATATGGGAATTCTCCTCCAGGACGTCTCTCTTTCCAGCCGGGTCCCCCTTAACAGTGAGCGTGCGGTGAGCGTCTGAGAGGGAGACAGAAAACCGCCAGCGTCACTGGCCGGGACGCCCGTACACACTCAAGACAGCCACACCGCCCGGAACGCCCTAGATTCAGCACAGTCGCTCCGCAGGGGGACGTCACAGGGGTTGTGACTCGTGGATTTATAAGACATCTGGGCCAGGACGTCTGTCCGTCTCGGCCCACCGCAAGGGATCGTGGGAGTTGTAGGCACTGCCGTTCGCCGTTCGCCTGCCCGGCGCGACAGGGGAATGGGACGCGGTTTTCAAAACGAACGCCACCTGCCGGACAGCACGGACTTTCGGGTATCTAGACGCATTCATTCCCGGATCGCGCAACGGCTGGGATCCACAGTTGGCGTCATTTTCCGCCTTTTTTTTTTTTTTTTAAGCTGTTAAAAACAATCGGTCCTGTGGGATGATCCATCTCCACGGCCACCGAGAGGGGAGGAGCCAGTCAGGGAGAGTGGAGAGGGGGAGAGAAAGGAGGATGATGAGGACAAATAAAGAGAAGTGGAGGCAGCAGAACTAAGCACGCATTTCGTCAGAGGTGTAAGGGACGTTCACATTCTCCAGTGCTCCCAGCTCTGAAAGAGGAGGAAGGAAAATGGCAGGAAAAGTTCCTCGTTTTGTAAGATGCACAGTCAGGCTAACCGACAGACTGTTACCTTTCAGGCGCAGGTATGATATGAAGTCCAGAACAGTCTGGAGAACCGAGTCCTCTGTAGCCGAGTCTGAGAGAGAGGGGACAGGGTCAACACAACACTGTACACACACACTGCACACACACACAGTACAGCACCGGCACACACAGTACAGTATATACACACACACAGTACAGCACTGACACACACAGTACAGTATATATACACACACACAGTACAGCACTGGCACACACAGGTACAGACACGCACAGCACAGCCACGCACAGTATAGTATATATACACAGCACAGTACAGGCACACACAGTACAGTACAGAAACACACAATACAGCACAGATACACACAGCAGAGACACAGTACAGCACAGACTCACACAGTACAGTACAGACACACAAAATATAGTATATATACACACACAGTACAGAACACATACACACAGCACAGACTGACACAGTACAGCACAGATACACACAGTACAGACACACACACAGAGTACAGCACAGACACACACAGTACAGACACACACACACAGTACAGTACAGACACACACAGTATAGACACACACACAGTACAGCACAGACACACACAGTACAGACACACACAGTACAGACACAC